GTGAAATATTTTAAATGTAATAAAAATATTAATTATGATATTTAAAAACTTCTCTGGGATGCATTACATCGTTTTGTGGCAACTGTACACGTGAAACACAAAAATATATACTTAATCTTATGTAGAGCAATAGACTTTAATAACTTTTAAGCATGAAAATAATTTCTAAAGCATAAAATTTGATATGTTAATTAATTTTGTTATGGAAAAAATAGTAATATAGAATACTGTAATAACACAAAAAATTAAAAAAATTAGATATCAAATAAAATAGATTTAAAAAATTTTTTTTATTCTCCTATTATTAAAACCTTTAACACAAGTTTCCTTGTATATTACTCTATTTTTGAAAAATGAATATTTACATTGTTATTTATACCACAGACAAGGTGGAATATAATCTGGAATATGATGTACTTAGTTTTATAGGTTGTTTTATTTACAAAATTTGATACGTTTTATTTTTCATTTAACATTTTAAATGTCGAAAAAAATATTGTTTAGTTAACTACGGAAATCTGAAGTAAATTTTATTAAAATAATAATTTTATTATCATATAATAAAATACTAATAAAACAAAAATCATTATTCAATTATCAGCATATGTATATACATAGTATGTATATGAAGAAATAATGAATGATTAAATAAACTAAATTTTGTATTTCTTTGCAAAATTTGCAGTTCTAGCTTCGTGCGTAATTTTTTTGTTTTGTAAATTGTTTATATAATGTAATATATGTAAAATATTCCCCAATGTTAACAATTTATAGAGTATTTATACTTTCCAATTCAAATTTCGCTTCAAAATGTGGCGAGCTTGTTTGGTCTGTGGGGTTCTTTTAATTCTGTTTATAGTTAGAACATTATGTTTGAAAATATATAAAAAATATAAGAATGTTTGTATTGTTGTTCTCGGAGATTTGGGTAGAAGTCCTAGAATGCAATATCATGCAATATCCTTTGCAAAAGAAGGTTTCACTGTAGATTTGATAGGTTATCCTGGTTCATTGCCTTTACAAAAAATAACGGAGAACCCTTGTATTCATATTTATTATCTTATTCCTCCCCCAAAAATAGAAGATAGTAAGTATATAGTTTTATTATAAGTTTATAGCTTGTTTACTCACTTTCATTTAAAATAAATTCTATTATTATGTATATTTAATTCAGTAGTTGCAAACTAAAACTGATTTATAAAAAGAATTATCTGAAATTTAAAAGGATTTTTTAAATATTTCAGAATTACCTCGTTTGCCATATTATATAATAAAAGTATTATGGCAAACATTTAATCTTTTATGGGTTCTGTTTTATAAACAATTATCAAGTTATATATTGATACAGAATCCACCTGCAATACCAACAATTCCAATTTGTTGGTTTTATTCTATTGTTGCTGATGCACAGTTTATTATTGATTGGCATAATTATGCACATACTCTTATGACACTTAGCATGAAAGATGACCATATATTAGTAAAATTTGCAAAAGCAATTGAAACATATTTTGGTTCCAAAGCATATCATAATTTGTGTGTTTCACAAGGAATGGAAGAAGACTTAAAACTAAGATGGGGAATTCAGTTAGTATTTTTATATATAGTTTATATTTCTAAGTATGTAATTCAATATTTTTTTTAATTTAGAGCTAAAGTTCT